TCATATTAAAAGACCTTTTGCTTCAGGCTAGTCATGGAGGGGTCCTTGCTAATTACAAGCTAAATACAGCCATGCAACACGTACTGTGGTACAGAAGGGTCTCCAGCCAGCAAGAATTCAGAGGAGTGTGAAAATAATGGTCTTAGCAATTCACAGGTTTTCAATAACATTACTTAGTAACAGGCTGAGTGTCTCGCTTTGGTGACCCCCTTTCCCTCCCTCCCTCCTCCTATGTAACAAACCAGAGAGCAGACAGACAGCTGAAGGAAGATTGTCTTTGGAGAAAGAAGGGAAAGTCTAGATGTGATGTAGAGAGAAAAGGAGAATGGAAACTTGAGGTTAGTTTTTAGTTTTAACTTTTGGCTTTAATTAGACGTTAATTCAATTTCCACCACAAAAGAAAAAAAATGTAGTCTTTAAAATTCAGTTTAATGAACAATTAGCAAGCCTGTACTAGAGAGGAAGGCACAGGGGAGACACAAAGATGGAGTCCATGCAGACCCTACTCTCAAAGAGCTTATGATCTAAGGGGGGGGGAGGGGGGGGGGGAGGTGGAGGTGGGGAGGACAAGTATTCAAGTAACAGAAAAGTCAGGCACTTCCCACAGAAAAGGTGCTTATCTTCCCTTCTACCCCTTCTTCATCTTTTCTCACCATTCCTACCAGTTAAATTGGTGGGTGATTTCAAGTGGGAGAAAAGACAAAGGGTCTCACGTCTCATGAACTTTAAAAGTTTTGGCTCTGGACTTGAGGGAAATTTATCAGCATGATCCCCAGAGTACAGCCAACTCATTGGGCACTGCCACTAAGTCAGGAACACAGGCTCGAGATAAGCAATTTCCTGAACCAAACAGAATGCTTCTATAAAGAGTAAGGAAACATATTGCCAACATCAAAAAGTCCAGAAACCCTTTCAGATCCTGCTTCTTTTTTCTTGTCATTGTGCTGATTGGAAAAAAAAAATTTGTCAGTCTCTACCTAGGTGCTCCACATCAGTAGTTTGCTACTGATTGTGTCAAAGAAAATAATATTAATATTAATATTAACAATGTACTCTGTGACTCAGGCTCAAGTTTGTCAATTTTATTTTATGTGAATCTATATCCAAGCCATTTTTAGTTTGGAGAAAGGGATGTCCAAACTTGCATAGTCCTTCCATACCACTTACATGACTTTCTGCCCCAAGAAGATTTCAGGTAATAATAGGAATCTTGACCAAGGATCAGATATTTTAAAATACAGTCTGAGTTAACATTCCAGAATTGAGAAACCAAGTCATAATCCTGTTCCTACTTCCCTATATTTCTGCTGCTGCTAGGTGGCACAGTGGATAGAGTGCCAGGCATGGAGTCAGGAAGTCTCATCTTTTTGGGTTCAAATCCAGTCTCAGACACTTACTAGTTGTTATATGACCCTGGGCAAGTCACTTAACCCTGTTTGCCTCAGTTTCCTCATCTGTGAAATGAGCTAGAGAAGGAAATGGTAAACCACTCCAATATCTTTGCCAAGAAACCCCAAATGGGGTCACAAAGAGTCAGACACAACTGAAACTGAAAAACAACACATTCCTAGAGGGACCTTCTCCCTTTCTTCTCTATTAATTCTTTCTCAATGGAGAAGGATAGGTTCTAGCACTAATCACTTCAGATGGGTAGGGAGGCTCTCAGGTGAACACCACATGAATTAAATTTGGTTATTACTTTTAATCTATGTCCCTAAGAAAAGCCTTTTACATCTTGGATCTATCAATCACCTTTTTAAGAATGGAAAAGGCTTTTGAGGAAAATATTATTTCTTAATATTTCTAAAGAAGCTAAAAAGGAGGTTTTAAATATGTTTCCACAGTGGTTGTAAGATTCAGAGATGGAAGAGGCCTTAAAGATCTTCTCTTCCTTCCTTCCTCCATACCTCTTTACTTCTACAAAAGAGGAAGTCAGATCTTAAGTAATTGGCTCAAGACCACACAGCTAAGAAGCAGATTTGCCATTCAGTCATGTCCTACTTGTCATGACCCCATCTGGTTCTGAGTTTTTTGTTTTGTTTTGTTTTGCAAAGTTACTGAAGTAGTTTGTCATTTATTTCTCCAGCTCACTTTACAGATGAGGAAACTGAGACAAACAGGATTAAGTGACTTGCCCAGGGCCATACAGTTAGTAAGTGTCTGAGGCCAGATTTGAACTCAGAAAGATGAGTCTTCCTGACTCCAGGTCAGCCCTCTATCCCACCCAGCTATCCTAAGTAAGTAGCACAGCCAGAATCTGAACCTCTGTTATTCAGTGAATCAATAATCATTTATTATTAAGTGCCTACTATGTACCAGGCACCTCCCATTATACCATGCTATTTCCATGCTAGGGAATACTATGTATAGCCTTCCCATGGAGAATGGAAAAATAACCACCAGCCTTTTTCATGTTACAGATACCATTTCGCACATCAGGCTAGTCCACTGGTTCTCAACCTGGAAGGGCCCAATCGTGCACCCCAGCTATGTGGTATCACCTTTACTGAATAAAACAGCTCGTTGCCAGCAGAAAATAGACTACGTAGAAGTTTGGGTGGGTGAAGAAAGCAAATGCCCCAATTCTTCACCTCAGAAATTCCTTGACCTAAGAAATCAAAAGCTGCTCCAGAACCAAATGGGACTCTTAATGTAAAGGCTTTGCAGCACCTCATTACAATGGGAATGGGTCTTAACCTTTGGGAAAACTGGACTTTTGAAGCAGACAATGTCATATTAATCAGAGCACATATTTCTAAGAGGTCTTTTGTTTCCAAAAGAGAACCCATAGAACCTCTTTCCGAAAGATTGGAAGCAGCATGTCTTTATTTAAACTTTTTCTTCTACCTCTACCCTGCTCTCCTTTTTCATCTTCTTATGGAATTAAGATTTTTATAATAATCGATAGATACAATCCTATTAACACTCTCAACAACTCTCCGCTCACCCCCCCCCCCCAATAAATATGGACTGTGGGTGTGTATCTTTAAGATTTTTTTGACCATTTGATTTTTTAAAAAATTGGCCAAAGGGAATTGGGAGAGGATATCATTAATAACTAATGTTCATGAGTTAGGAATAGCAATCTCTTTCTTGGAGACAAGCTAAAACTAAAGAGATGGATAAGGTTGGAGCAAGCCTGCCTTTCGCCGCCAGCATTATTATGGAATGCAGGCCTCTAGAGGACACAGGCCCTTACTGGCCTGTCAATAGACCAGGAAGAAATTGAGATGCCCTCCAGAAAGGCAGAGAAACTGGAAAGCACTGAGGATGGCAGGGTCAGGGAAGGGAGGAGAAGTGAGACAGAATCCAGCCTGTGGCCTGTGGCCTATAATACAGCCTGTCTTTTACAGCTTAGCCCAAGGACAGAGTCACATCCATTAAGTTTTGAACAGCAGGCGTAAGGCATGGAGGGAGGAACAGAAATGTACCAGTGGTGCCCCTGGAACCTTTGTTGTTGTTTAGTCCTTTCAGTCGGGTCTGACTCTTCATGACCCCATTGGGGTTTTCTTGGCAAAGATAGTGGAGTGATTTGCCATTTCTGGGCAGCCTGCTTGGTCAATTACTGAGCTAAAAAAAATCCTCATCTTTAGGGAGGCCCCTAGAGAGGAGGGGTAGAATGGGGTTTTCCAGAGGAGCTGTTTTGATCTCCTGTACTTGGCCTCAAACTGTTAATCTGCCTCTGGGATTCCCCTGTATCTCCCACTTGCTCCTTCATCCCTGAAGAAACCTTGTGATTTGGTGCAAAGATTTCAGGCTCTGCTTTCTTACTGAGTAAAAGGGCAAATCAGTTAAACTTTTAAAGTCTTTTGTTTTCCTATCTGCAAAATGGGGCTAATAGTACTTGCATTATCTAACTGTGGGGATTGTAGTGAAGATCAAACGAGCTAATCTGCCAGGGAAGGACCACTTTGTAAAAATAAAGGCCTATACGAAGGTAAATCATTATTTGTTTTCCTTTTACTCAGGGTAGAAGAGACACACTTGTCAGGAAGGGTCATGCGGTAGGTAGCCTAAGAGCTTAAATGGAACCTCGGTCCTTGAACTCTAAATGCAGGGCTCTTTCCATTGTACCATGCAGTGAGCTATTAATGTCATTATTAATTGCTCATATTTATGTAATTCTCTTCCTTGATAGTAGCCATCACAACACACTGGTGGTAGAAGCTGCTCAGAAGAGGGGATTGGGGGAAAGTCACTAGATATGATGGGGGGGCAGGAGGCGGGGCGAGGATTCAATGCTAATACTTGACATTTCCTTACTTCCTTAAACCTACCCTCAAACTGGGAAGGAAGGAGGCTATGGCTTACACCATATGCCTTTGACATGTCCTATGTCAAAGTGTCCTATGTAAGCGTCCTATGAAAAGGTCAGGGCTATTTGATATTTCATGGTGTCACCTAGCAAAATCAAAACTTGTAGGGATAGGAGGAGGCCTCTGCAGCCTAGGCACCCAAGGGAGTGTGAAGCCTGGTTTAGAAGCAGATAGCTAAATCCTTGCCCCATTCCCCTCCCTCCAGACAATTCCCCTCATCCCAACCCCACTATCCCCTTTCGGTCGGCAGTCAAAAAGTCCCGACGGCCAAACACCTTCCCCTTTAACAGGAGCGCCGCGCCTGGCTCAGGCGGCTGGAAAGCTCCGGGGAGTCGGAGCATCCATCCCCCTGCAGTAGCAGCAGTAGCAGTAGCAGCAGCAGCAGCAGCAGCGGCAGCAGCAGTAGCAGCATCAGCATCAGCTGCTGCTGCAGCCTCCCCCTCCCCGCTTCTCGCAGCCCGAGCCGGCGGCGTGCGCCCGCTCCAGAGGCCAGCGGGCAGGCTGAACGGCTCGGATGCGGAGGCGGGGAGGGGGCCGGCGTGGCTGAGCCGGTGACAGGCGAGCAGCACTGCAGCAGCCGTGGGGGAGCTGGGGACGCCGCGCCGGGCTGCGGGGCGGCTCTGGCTCTTGCGTCGGCCAGCTCGTGCTCTGCGCCCGCTGCGGCCTCGGCCGGCGGCCGGGATGGAGAGCGAGCGGGGGCGCCGGCGGTTGGGGGCTGTCAGCTCCAGCCGAGGCTGAAGGCACCCGCCCCTAAGGGGGCTCTTTAGAGCTAGGGGGACCCAGAAAGATAGCAGTCCGGCCAAAGGAAGGGAGGCGAAGTGTACCGAGCCCCTCTCCCGTATCCAGGTCCTAGGGCCGAGCGGAGCCTCCCAGGCCAGCTGTGGGCAGCTCCCGGGGTTCTCTGTGCCCTCTTGTTGCCTTTTCCCTGCCCCCGCCGTCGGGCATTGCGCCCCAGTCCCTGCCAGGATGAGGAGGTTGCGGCGTCTGGTGCACCTGGTTCTCTTCTGCCCACTGACCAAGGGCTTGCAGGTAAGGCCAAGAGGGGTCACGCTGGTGGCCAGAAGTTTGGGAGGGGGGAAGGGTAGTTGGCCGGTTCCCAAGTCGGGGGGTCGGATCTGGGCATAGGGGGAAGGGTCGCCACAGCTAGGAAGGGACCGTCAGATGGGCTACTTTCCTTTTATTTCTTGCGGCCATTCTATGGCGTGTATGCTGTGCAAAGGAGAAAGTCATCAATCAACCATAGGATATCCTTAGTTCTCCACCTTCCCAACCCGCCCACCCCCTCCCCCAAGTTGGTATCACCCGGGAGATTGGGTACGGCCAAAGTTGTTTATTCTTATTCCTTCCAGGAAGGGGAAATAAGGAAGGTACATTCCACACTCCCTTCTGCTCCACTCTCCATCCATGGCAAAATCTTCATACCCCCTGCCTTCTTCCAAGCTGTGTAGCCTTGCCGTCTGCCCAGCCCCACCCCAGCCATGATTCTTCTTCAGGCCAAGGAGTGAGGAGGGCAAGCCATCACACAGACTAGTTCTTCTGCTGTCCCTCACCTAGGAACTAGATTCTGGATACGAATGGTGGAAAGGATACTTCAGGCCACGATGGAAATGCTGCCCTCTGCCAGGTCAGATTCCTTTCCCAGGCTGCGTGAAAGGCACAACTATTCATTGGCAGCCTAGAGTCCTCTAGGTTTGCAAGGGATGCCCCCTGCCTCTCCCATGCTTGCTCTCCTGCCTTCCCTTCTTCCTTGTTTTAGAAAGGGAATCTGTGTTACATTTCATCCGGGCAGGAGCATAGACCCTTAGCACAAGCAAGTACAGTTGGAAGCTTTGATTCTTCCTTTCCCTCTGGCTTACCTTGTGAGTGGCATTGAAAGAACAGACTCTCTGGAGCGAAGCAGGAGGGAACAGAAAAATAACTGCTGTCATTTGGGCACTTTCGATCCTAAAGGCTGAGTTCAAGTCTACCTTGATGGGTGAGGAAGAAGAGAAAGGAAGTGATTGATTAATTATGAGGCATGTAAAGCACCGAAATCGAGGAGATGTGTCCCATTTACCTGAAGTTTGACAGAGAGGTGAATTGTGTGTTGCAGGGACCTGGTGCTTTAAATAGGCAGAATACACAAGAAACAGGACAAACATCCTCTGAAATTTAGTGCTTTCCCACAAAAAGAAGTTAAGGCTTTCTGATTTTTTTATTGTTTGAATCCTTGTGATAACCAAATAGCCAGAAATCAACCCAACTAGGCAGGGTTGTGGGAGAGACATTGGCCATAGGTCAGTTGCAATGATAAGGATCAATCTACTATGTTTTGTATGACTTCACATGTCTGACTGATATCATATTGCTTCCTAGCTCACTAGGTGAGGGAAGGGTTGAAGGGAGAGAGAATTTGAACACTATTAACCCTTTAGGGGCAAGGCCATAGGGAAGTACCCAGTGCAGGAATGATTCTGACCAGCAAACCTTCCCGGCATACACATTTCCTCTGCTTCTCCTTTTAGGGAAGAGAAGAGGGCAGAGGTATAGTGGGATCAGGGGAACCTCTTTTGGGCTCCAGATCCCCATGTACTGGGGAGAAGGTTGATATGGTTGAAGGCTTTTTTAAAAAAAAATTATTTTTTTTTATTCTGAACAGCTAACATCAAATAAAGTGTGCATTCTTATATACACCATAGTATAGAAGCAGAAGGAGGGGCTTATATATGAAACTGTAAATCTCTATTAGATAGAGATTACTTTTCTTTCAGGTATATAATAAATTCAATATGTAACTTCCAAAGCTGTCCTGCTTTGTCAGTGCTTTCTTATGACTTTCCTTCTGTTTTCTTTCTACTTTATTTTTGGAAGGGGTACCCTATCCATACTCTATCTCTCCTACCACCTCCTAACTGAAAGAAAAGAAAAATCATACCATTGAACTGTATTTCCTGGCTTCTGGTCTCTTCCCTATCTTTTTGCTCTATCTTTTGCCACAGCTCTATTTGTAACAAATATTCAGACAAGCAAAACAAGATTTCATATTGATTGTGCACAAAATGAATGCCTCGTTCTGCACCCCTGTATCTTTGAAGATTTTTCATTGAAAAAATGTCGTATATACATCTAAGTTGGGTTCATAAATCAACAAGCATTTATTAAGTACCTACTATGTGTCAGGCACTGTGCTAAGCACTGGGGATATGAAGAAAAGGTAGAAAAAGCTCTTTCTCTCAAGGAGCTCATATTCTAATGGGGAAGGCAGCATGCACATAACTGGGTCTACAAAGGTATGTGCAGACCAGCCTGGAGTCAAAGAGACCTGAGTTCAAATTCAGCCTCGGTCACCTAATAACAGTGTGACCCTGGGCAATTCACTTAACCTAGTTTGCCTCAGTTTCCTCATCTGTAAAACAAGCTAGAGAAGGAAATGACAAATCACTCCAGTATCTTTGCCAAGAAAACCCCCAAATGGTGTCACCAAGAGTCAGACACATCTGAAATGACTAAACAGCAACAGCAACCCAAGGTACATACAGAGTTTGTTAGAGAGGCAGGCAGCTGGGGGGACCTGGAAAAGCCTACTGCATAGGGTGGTGTAAGAGTCCTGAAGAAAGCCAGGAATTCTTAAGAATTGGTTGTGAGGAGGGAGAGGCAGGCCAAGGCACAGACAATGAACAAAAAGGCATTGAGTGGAGAGATGAATTGGGATATATAAAAAACAAGGAGAAGACCATTATAGCTGCTGGCCTATAGAGCAAATGGAAGGGAATAACATGCCAAAGGACTAGAAATATAGGAACACTTCACACATAGCACAGCAACCAAAACCCACTCCAGCTCCGGGTTTCAAGAGCAGATGAAACTTCTCTAGGTCAAAGAGGGTGAAGAGGGCACTGATGATGATGGGCATTTAAAGGCCTCATGCTCTGCCCGAGGCTGAGTAAGCACCAGTACACTTCACTTAGGCAGATGAGGAGTCTAAGAGCCTCCAAGCTCTGAGAGCCAGTGAGGCAATTTCAGACGCCCATTTCTGATTTCTTTGATTTCTATCAGCCTCTGAGTTGCCAACTGTGCAGCCTGAGTGACATGGAGAGAAGCTCTCTTGGCATGTGGGTTGGTGTGCTTCTTTATCTCTTTGGTATTTCCACCTCTAGTCTCCCACCCCAGGAGGTGAGGCTGCAGGAAGAACAGAGTTCTGTTTGCATTGCTCTAAGGACCTGCCCGCTCATCTTGTTCACTGGGAGGGAAGTTGAATAGATTGGACATGAATCTGCATGGTCTCAGGTTACCAATGAAGCAAGGACCTTGGAGGAGTCAAATCCTTGTAATTTTCTACCACTTTGGACATTGGCTTCCTGGGCCTCCTGTTTGAGGCAACAGGAATGTGTTCCCAGGCTAGTGTCACCTCAATGACAGTAGGGCTGGGGGAGGAGGAAAGACTTGGCAGGCTGATTATCCTAGGCTAAGCCTAATTAACTCAGTCTTTCCCTCCATAATGAAAGACTGAGGGCAAGCTGTCAGGAAGAGGCCTTGGAGATCCGAGAGTCAGCTAGAGCTACTTGTCTACCAGGAAAAACAAGTAGATAAGGAAAATACACAAACATCAGACTGGGCAGCCCCATACCCTCTCACCCCTTCCCATGCTCAAGTCCTGCCTTAGCATTTAAAACTGAGAAGGCAGACAGGTCTGCACTTAGCCTGACAGGTGGAGTAGAGCTGTGGCAAAAGATAAAGAAGAGACCAGCTGCCAGGAAATAACAGTTCAATGGTATGAGAAAACAGCCACACTCCCCCACCCCCATCCCTTTACCCAGTTACAAATGCTGCTTTATGGCTGGCTGCAAACTGAGCACTCACCTAGTGCTAAGCCACTCCACAACAGAGGCAAGAGGTACAAGCAGGAACCCTCAGGAACACCCATATGTGCCTTTGAAGAAGCGACAAGCCATGCATACTGAATTCCCCTCATTTCCTTTGGGGCTCTGACCACCACCAGGGCCTGAATGCCAGACCTCTCTCTGGCCCACCCAGGAGGAGGGGTGCAGATCTAACCTGTGTGAGTCTGACCTAGGATGAATTTGAATCTCAGCAGCACTGGGGTTCTTGCCACTTTCCTTGGAAGAAAGCCTGCTTTCTAATGAAACGGCTGGCTTTTCTCTCCTCTGGATCATTAGCCACCCCTTTCCATTCCTTGCCTCATATCTGTTCCTCTCTGGCACTGTTCTCAATAACCATGGGAGAAGGAGGGTAGCTTAGTTCCTCTCTCCTTGGTCAGTTTCCTTAAGCCTTCTGAATGGCTTTCATTTGTTTAATAGGAATTCACCTAGTGTCTGTGAATGCACAATATGAGGCTGATTTTCCAGGGAGTGGAGCATAAAGTTGAGAACTGTCCTAGTCCCCTAACAGCTCAGCCACTTTGATGGCAATCAAACTCTGCTTGCCATTGTGCTTATCTGTAAAGATTTAGGTTCTCTCTGACCCAGGATATTAGCCAGTTTGTTAAGATGCACCTTGCATTGTGGGCCATTTCTCCCAGATTCTGACATCAGGAAGAGCCACTGAAAACAACTGAAGTAAAAGGAACCCTTTTTCCTCCACATAATATCTTATTAAGACTCTCTTCCCCCTCAGCTTCCCATAGATTTTCCACAGGATTCATTTGACTTCACGGGCAGAGCATTTGGTTCAAGGGGACACTAACCTACTAGGAGTTATAGAGTTAGTTAACTGAATCCAACCCCTTCATTTTATAGTCAGGGAAACTGAGGCTTAAAGAAGAAAAATGACTTCTCCGAGGTCCGATGAGAGGATAGTGGTAGAGCCAGGACCAAAACCTATGTCTTCTCTTCCCAGTCAAGGGCTCTTTCCTCCTTTCATCTAAAATGCCAGAGAAGTTCAGAAAAGTTAAGTCAAGTCACTGAGCACTTATGAAGTACCTATTATCTGTCAGGCACTTTGCTAAATCCTGAGGATGCAAAGAAAGACAAAAACAGTCCCTATTTTAAAGGAGTTCATAGTCTAATGGGGGAGACAACATGCAAACAGCTACCTGCAAATAAGATACATACTGGATAAACTATATATATCCCTCAGTGGGAATGCACTCAAAGAGGAAATATCCACTTTGGGGAAATGGAAACTGCTACATTTCTGTCTTCTGATGTAATCAAAAGACTGATTCTTGACAGAAAGTCCCATCCTTTACATAATGAGAAAGGATAGAAGCAGTGATGTGTGGTAGGCAGCTTGTAGAGGAATTTTGAAAGCTAGTTACTGGGGCAGCTAGGTGGCACAGTGGATAGAGCACCGGCCCTGGATTCAGTAGGACCTGAGTTCAAATTCGGCCTCAGACACATAACACACTTACTAGCTGTGTGACCCTGGGCAAGTCACTTGACCCCCATTGCCCAACCAAAAAAAAACCAAACAAACAAAGAAAGCTGATTATTAAATTTTCAGTGCAAGCATTTTCACTGTGGAAACAGACCAATGCTACAAATCAGGGCTTGATTTATTGGTGTTGATTGCTTAGACTTAAGAAAGCCATGGAGAAAATGTTAATAATGTAGATAAGGTTTTAAAGTGTGCTGGGTGTACAATCCCCTCCCCCTCAGAGCCAGTTGTTAAACATTTACCAGCATGCCACTGGATAGAAAGTATAAATATCAGCAGCATCTAAGGTTCTTAGACATTGTGCAACTATGGGTACATAGCTTCCCTGCTCCACCCTATCAGCTCATTTTTTTAGTCAATTGGAAATTGGATTGTAACTCTCTCTCTCTCTCTCTCTCACACACACACACACACACACACACACACACACACACCACTAACACCCTAAGCCTCTGTATTTTTTGCTTTCCTGTTTTTTTGAGAGGACGGAATCATGGGGAAACAGGAGTTAGTATTCATGGAGACGGTGGGGCTGTGGACAACAATTAGCACTGTGCATTGAATCTTAGTGGCATTCTGAGAATCTTCAAACAAGGCTACTCAGCACAGGCCACCTTTTACCATTGTCTGTTGGAGGCACACACTGCCTCTGTAACCTACACATGTCTTTGCCAGTGCTGAGGGGGTGGGTGGGTTTGACTGCTAACATCCTCCCTGAAGCTGAAAATAATACAGCTAGGGATTTACCTAGCGCCTTTCCCTCAGGGCTTCTGGGCACACACGTCCTGTATCTACATTCTCCTACATCCCCACAGATGTTGAATTTCAATCTCTGGCATGGATGACTCAGCACCCCCAAAAAGGAGTGGAGGAGGAGGCAGTGATTCAACTCCCCCCCCCCCAAAGAGAAGGTTAAAGGACTTGTACAAGGTCACATAGGGCTTGAAGTCAGATCTCTCATCTCTTTCTGCCTTTGACAGGTAGGCAAGGGAGAGAAAATCATTTTGACTACAGAGTCTAATGAGGGGAAATGGAACTAGAAACCAGATTTCAGGCCACCCCATGCTGGCTATCAAGTCATACTGCCTTCTTCAAAATGTGATTTAGGGGTGGCTCATGTTTTGGGTGACATCATCTTGCCTTTTTCTTCCATCTGCTCCTATCATTTATGCATTCTTAGGATTTAGAGATCAGGCCAGTGATTGGCAGGGAAGCCAAGCTCTATGTTTGTCAGAAGAACAGGTAGGGCCCAGTGGTAGGTCGAAGAGCTGATGTTTCCTAGCCCTCTGAGGGGAAGCCCAGGCCCCAGGTATCATCAGAACACGATACTTTGGCCAGGTGCTGCTGGGAGAACAGAGGTGGTTTTTCTTAGGAGTTTGAAGTCTTTCAGTCCAAGAAAGTCTGAGGCTTTTCCATTTGACAAGCCCTCTGTGTAATTAGATTCCCCCTTTGGCAGGCATCAGTCTAGGACACAATTTCTGGGATAAGGCTGACCCACAATGCCATGCAGTGATTTGCATTTGGAGACTGGGATTAGCTTCCAGTTGGGTCATGATATAATTCCCTCAGGCCTTATGTATTGGGATGGGAGGAGGGAGTCTAGTAAGTGGATACCCACTACCTTTACACAGAGAAAATACTGCTAGGAAGCTCAGTTTGCCCTAGTTACTGTAGCAGGGAGGATCTGAAGCTGATTCCAAATGACAATCCAATTCTGAAGGTCTTTCTTTTTCATTTCCAACAAGGGAAAGCCAATCTTCCTCTCCCCCCAAACAAAAAAATTTCTCTAATAGGAGAAGTCCAGCACATTATAGATTATTTCCCTGATGGGCAAGGGTAGTAGCTATCTGGGAGTTTGTGTGGGAGGAGAACTTGGCCCTGATTCTAAATAAGGTATCCACAACCATATAATAAAGAATTGACTGTAGTTTTGTCTACTAAAAATACCATTTTTTCTTCTTACAGAATCGTCTACCTGGCATCAAGGTGAAATACCTCTTCCTGGCATGGCTGGGCATCTTTGTAGGCAGCTGGGTGGTGTACATGCATTACTCTTCATACTCAGAACTCTGCCGAGGGCATGTCTGTCAAATGATCATTGTAAGTGCTGCTTTCCCCCCACCTTTGCAATTCTCCTGAGCTCTCTCTCTCTCTCTCTCTCTGTGACAGGGGACAAGGAAAGAGGATGGAGTTTTCCCCAGAGAATGGAGCTGTGTTAAAAAAAAAAACCATATTGGACCCATTTCGTTTGTGATCTAAATATCATATCATCTGGTCTGTAGGCAGCTGCCCTTCCTAGGAGGGTAGATGATTTTTGCCCTTAAGGGTTTGGGTTAAAAACACTGAGCAGGGTCCTTATCATGGCTTTGTCTTCATCTGGCCATGTGATCTTTCTAACACAAGAGGTTAAATTGATCTCTAGGTACTGATTTCCTCACCAGAAATGAAAAGGTTGAACTAAGGGGCTTTTCAGGTACCTCCAGATTCTAATATTCTATGAGAGTGACTTTTCAAGTCCTTAATCAATAGAAGCACCTCATCCTTCTTGACTGGGAAAGCAACTGAATCAGTGAATAGCATGTAGGTGAAGAGAGAGACAGGAAGGAATTGGATGCTCTCAGGACTGGCTCAAGGTAGATTTAGAGGATAAATGCTTTAGGTCTAGAGGGACAGGACTGAGGGAGGGAATGGGTGGTGGGGAAAGGAGAGAAAGAGAGACAGAGGCAGAGACAGAGATAGAGACACATAGAAACAGAGAACTGGATTGATTCTTCAACCTCTTGACCAATGAATGGGCTTGATTTTAATTCCTGGTAAAATTCTAGCAGATATTGTTAAAAGGATAGTTTCTGAACATTTAAGAGGGAAACAGTGATCGTTAAAAAGCAGCACAGATTTGCCCAGAATGGGTCATGCTATTGATAGAATATACGTGGATATTACCATGGAATTTAACTCATTATTATTATTAACAGGCTTAAATATTACATGATATCCTTATGGATAGGATGGAAAGATGGGGGCAAGGTGACAGTAAAGGGTTTGTTTGTTTGTTTGTTTTTCCCAGACCTATGATTTCATTGGTTAGGGGAACTCCTAGGGAGGCAACTTTCTTTGCTAAAGCAAATCAGCCACTTGTCCACTAGTGATCCTCTTGGTGAGTTGCCTGGGGCGTTGAGAGATTAAGTAACCATTCTTAGTACTGTGGGTCAGGTCTACCTCCAGCCAATCCAGTGATTCAGGTTTGGCATTAGAAAGTAATAAGGCAATTGTGAACCATAAAATACAATAAAAATAACTTTACTTGTGATAAGATTAAAAAGGATACAATTCCTAATTAAATTCAAATAAAAAGCCATTCCCTACAGCAGTCCACAACATTCACTTAGGAAGGCATCCTGCTGAAACCTCTGGAGCACCAGTTCACCACAGACTGGTCTTTTTCTGTCTCTGGGGGGCAAAGAGCATTGTGGCACAACAGGGAGGTAGGTACTGTTATTATTCCCATCTTACAGTTGAAGAAACGGAGGCAAATAGAAGTGAAATAATGATTAGACCAGCTCACACAACCAGTAAGTGTCTGAGATCAAATTTGAACTTAGGTCTTCCGGACTCCAGGCCCCTTGCTCTATCCTCTGCTCTACTAGCTACCTCTTGCTGGATGTTAAAGGAAATTGCAGTGTAAAGGTTCCCTAAGCTCCAGGCTCTTGATAAAACCAACTCTCACCTCCTAATTTGTCTACCGCACCAGAACCAGCCTCTAACCTGGGGGTGGTTGGAGCTGAAATAGAGCAGGCTAGAGACAGGAGAGTCAGGATGTAAACAGAAGTTTAATTAATTTCAGAGTGAGGAAAATGATATTTGCAAACACAAGCCCGCAATAACGTGATGGACCAAAGGCAGGTCTTATATACATAAAAACCACAAGTGGGCTGGGCCATGACATAATCATTTTTTGGGTCTTGAGTTACTGTTCCCATGGGCCCTGTGGGAACAGTGTTGTCTCAAGTCTTGGGGGTCATGTTTACTTATGGGGTGTAGAATCAGAGCTCTGTGATGGAAACAGGAATACACTACCTGTCAGAGACAAGGAACAGGGATTGTGAATATGTGATAGATGGCCCTAGGAAATGGGGGGGGGGTAAATCCCTCAGTGAACACCTGGTGCTGGTCCAAGCAATACATTTTGCCAGAGGGTGAGATCGTTCCAGAGTGCAAAGGATTATTGTTATGCCAAGCTTAGGGCACCACCTGCTTGCTGGGCCTTAGCTCTGAAAAACTGAGTATCTCCAAAATATTTTGACAAATTAATGAAGCCCAGTCTAGCACTGCCCTCCCAAGCCCCTGCCACCCACACAAGGAAGAGGAGAAATTTCAGGACTTCTTGCCATTGCCCTGGCCCAAAGGAAGCCCTAGGTAAAAGACCGAATCTCCCTAGAGTCTTGCCCAGACTCAGAAAAGTGAGGGAGGTGGAGGTGGGATGGAAAATGTGTGGTGTAAGAGATTTAAATGGGCAGCTCTGTGGCTGGGGCAGTGAGGGGGTGGGGTGTGGGGCTGGAACAAGGTCATCTGATGTCAGTGGGTCCAGCAAAGGAACACAGAGCAGTGCTAGGCTGAGGCACATGCTTACTGCAAGTTTTCTTGGTGTTTATTAATAGACATAATTACAGAGAACACTTAAAAAAAATCTTCCAACCCAGATGCTAACCAGCTCTTCCCATCCCCCCTCTCAGCACTGCAGACTTCCTACCTGCTAAGGACAAATCTACTTAGCATTCACCCCATTGCTGTAATTAGTGGAAAATCAGAGATTTCACATGGCATGGTTAGCATAAAGAAGGCTGGGCAGTAATGTGATGCATCAGGCACAAACTGAGGGTTTTTGGCTGTTTCTCCAACCCCCTTCACTCTCTGCCTGTTTCCAGCAACCATGAGCACCTTAGAAATCTCTGTGGGGGATATAGTCTGATGAGAAAAGCCACTATGAGTACCCAGGGGTGTTGGAGCATGGGATATGGGGATCTGTGTGTGGGAAGGCTATTCAGGTGTCAAAATACCATAATTCAGCTTTTCTGAAGAAGGTCGGAAAGCCCTTAGAGAAGGTGAGAATTTGACCACAGGAATCCTATGGATACTCATTGTCCCTTGGCTGCAATCTTATGAGAACCTGAGTTAGATCAGGGACACCAGAGGAGGGGAGGAGGGCAGGAGAAGAGAAGGATGGAGGAAGGAAACAAGGAAAGAGGAGGGAGGGAGGCTGAGCAGATTTGAGAAAATGTCAGAATCTGTCATCTGGCTGTCACATGGAGTTCTCTGTCTCAGCTGGGCAAGCAGATAAGCCATTTAATATAAAGAGGGGTTGATTAAGGGGAAAGAGAAAGAAAATGAAAGTGAACCTTTTTTCTTTTCCATTTAATTTGTCAGTCAATAAACATTTATTAAGTGCCTACTGTGTACCAAGTAGTGTGTTCAGTGCTGTGGATACAAAGAAAGCCAAAAGACAGTTCCTGCCCTTGAGAAGCTTATGATAATATGGAAGACAACGTATTAACAACTAGGTACAAACAAGCTATATATGGGATAAATAGGAAAAAAAAACAGCAGAGAGAAGGCACTAGAATTAAGAGGGATTGGGAAAGGCTTCTTGTAGAAGCTGGGATTTTAGCAGGGACTTGGAGGAAGCCAGGAAGCTAGGAGACAGATTTAATTATTACTAAATGCTAATCCCTGGCTTCTCCTTTCAAGACCCAGATCAATCACCACTTCCTACCTTCCCATCTGTCAACTGCTCGAGCCTTCTTCCCTAAGGTTACTTCAAACCCTGAATCTTGTGTGTGTGTATTTATATACATGTCATTTCCCTTCTTAGAGTAGAAGCTCTTTGAGGGGAGGCTTTTTTGGCTTTTTCTTTGTATCTTCATTACCTAACACAGCGACTGACACATAGGAAACCCTTAATAAAGGCTTGTTGGGTGATCGAATTAGTGTCAGTAATTGTTTTGGTTCCCTTCAAATTTAGAAATGTTTGTCAATGACTTACTGCCCAGTTAGTTCAGTGAGTAAGACAAGTGTCTGATTCCCATATCCTCATAGCTCTTATATAATAGAAAATTGATTATACTTATGATTAGACTTACAAATTTATAAAATCAGAGTTTTGCTCTGCTCCCTAGCCACAGGCTAAATCCTAATTTTGATCAGACATCTTGAACATGCATGCCAGTGACCATAAGGAGGACCAGCTAATGAGGTGTAGATGATTTATAGAGGCAGCATAGAATAATGAACATTTTCTAGCTCGGTAATCATAAGAAAGTAATTTAACCTCCCTGAGCCTCGGCTTCCTCATCTAAAGTGTGAGGAAGAAAGTGTTTTGCAAACCTTGAAGCATTTTCTAGGAAAGCAAGTTATGAGTGCTGTCTGTGCAGTACATCCCCATAGCTGAGGATACAGCCTGAAGTACCATGATGCTCTTGGTAGATGCTTGCCCCAGGTCTGTCCCAACTGGTTTCCAGAATGTGTGCTCTACAGGGAATGCTAATTTCTGTCTTCCAAGACTCAAATTCTACAGGACCACTAAAGACCCCCTATCCTACTACAGGGCAGGATACAAAAACAGGCTGTGGGAGGTGAGTGAATGGTTAAGAGAATGGGACTAAGTATTCTTAATTACTCTGCTTTAGGTCTAGTAGGACAGATTTTCTGTCAAGAGAGTGTGTTGCCAACACAGTCAGTAAAACCTGGGTTCAAGTCCAGCCTCAGATACTTGGTAGCTGTGTGACCCCAAGTAAACCACCTAACCTTTTGTCTGCCTCAATTTCCTCAACCATAAAATGGGAATGTTAATAGCACCTTACTTCTCAGGGCTGTTGGAAGAATAAGATGAAATAGTATTTTTAAAGCTCTATATAAATGCTAGCTTTTATTATCTCCATTTTATACTTTATTCCCCCTCTATGTATTTTATGGTTCAGTGACTTTGGTCTCCTTACTGACACTTTGTCTCCCAACACTAGGCATTTTCACTGCTGTTCCTCATGTCTGGAATTCCCTCTTTCCTTGTCTCTGCCTCCGGCTTCCCTGGCTTCCTTCAAGTCTCA